CCTCCACCTGCTGGGCTTAGGCGATCCTTCTGTTTCAGCCTTCCAAGTAGCTGGAACTACAGGTGTGTGCCATCATGCCCAACTAATTTTTTGTTTTATTGTAGAGACCTGGTCTTGCCAAGTTGCCTAGGTTGGTTCTTGAACCCCTGGGCTCAGGCAGTCCTCTTGCCTTGGCCTCCCAAAGTGCTGGGATTATAGGCTTGAGCCACTGCGCCTGACCATCTCTAACTTTTTTCTAACCACAGGTTCCCTATTCTCTGTACTGCTTATGTATCAATGACACCATTGGTACAAGATGTTTAAGTTGCTTACAAAGCTATATACTATGTATTTTGGCAGTGCAGTTAGGTAATGTGTCACAGAAGAAAGAAAGATGCCAGGCTGCCTGTATGGGGACTGTGATAAGAAAGTATTGAGAAAAACCTTGGTTTTGTTTTTTTAGAGACAGGGTCTTTCTATGTTGCCCAGGCTAGTCTTGAACTCTTGGCCTCAAGCAATCCCCCTACCTTGGCCACCCAAAGTGTCAGGATTACAGATGTGAGCAACTGCATCCATCCTGTCTCATTTTGTTATTGTTGCTGTTTTGAGTGATGTGCCTAAGTGTCTTGTATGTGAGGTAGGTGGTGCTGTATTCCCAGAGTGTGGCCTTGTTTTTGTTCAATACACTGTACTCATCTCATCTTTGGGGATCTTCCTTAACAATGATAGTACAGCCTTTTGGCCACCCTCATTTCACTTTAATTCTCGTCCTTTTATGTGACTGCCCTCTTTTTATTTTTATTTATTTTTTAGTTGGAGTCTCTGTCGCCAAGGCTGGAGTGCAGTGGCACACTCACAGCCACTCCAGCATCAACCTGCTGGGCTCCAGTGATCCTTCTGCCTCAGCCTTCCAAGTAGCTGGAACTACAGATGCACGCTACCATGCCCGGCTAGTTTTTTTTTTGTTGTAGAGATGAGGTCTCGCCAAGTTGCCTAGGCTGGTCTCGAACATGCCCTGGCCTCCCAAAGTGCTGGGATTATAGGCTGAACCACTGAGCCCAGCCTTTTTTTTTTTCTTTTTTAAATAGAGACGAGGTCTGGCCATGTTGCCCAGGCTGGTCTTGAACCCCTGGTCTCAGGCAGTCCTCTCGCCTCTGCCTCCCAAAGTGCTGAGATTACAGGTATGAGCCACTGTACCTGTCCTTGTCTGCCCTCTTTATCATTGTCAACTTCAGCGAAGGCAGGACAAAGAGAACTAATCAGTGTGGGTAAGTGTTCCATTCCACATTCCCAAATAAGGCCAAGATACTTCTTGTCTCTGCAGAAAACAACCTGAGAGTTAGTACTAATTTTGAAACACAGAGACTCTTTTATTCAGCAAGCTTCTGTACCACTGTCTCTAACTTGGATTTCTTTTTTTCCCCCCACCTCTGACTTACTTGAATTTCAAGGAAAGCAGCCCACCAGCCTGGAGGTGGGGTAGAGGAAGACCTAGAGGCAGACTTTCATTTCCTATCTAAACTAGAATCCAGTAACTTCTGACTCCCGTTACTCAGCTGAATTCTGGTTATTCACTCAGGCAGTACCTATACAAACAGCACTTAACTACTACATGTCTGCTCTGGATAAGACACTGTACTATTATAGGAGTGTTACATGATTTTGACTAGTCAGACACCTAAGTACAATGACTGACCCAGGGCGGCAGCTTTTTTTTTTTTTTGAGTTGGAATCTCACTCTGTTGCCCAGGCTGGAGTGCAGTGGCATGCTCACAG